TGTCCCATTAAGGTATTCTTTAAAAAGTGACTCATAACCAAAACCTGTTGCATTCTCTTCTATCTTAATTTGTTTGTGATATTTTCCATCTATAAAACACAAACTTTAGTTATAATCAGTGACCACTTTTTAAAATATTTTATTCTTTAAATAGCAATTAATTGGGATCAGTTCTAAATTAATTTTTTAACTTATAACCCAAGTTAAAGAGTGGCTGTCACAGGATCAACAGGATAATTCCACTGTTTTCATCAATTCAAAATGAGTACTTACTGAACAAGTTATCTGAGATTATCCATTTTTAAGGAAATATACGAATCCCAACAGTAGTTCCTAATGTGCATGGCTTTGCACTTTATACTTTGCTTAAAAGTCAGTGGTCTGGCTCCTCTTCTGGGACAGCACTTGGAGGCACTCAGGATGGTCTAACAATTGACATATATAGTAGGCTTTCCTGCAATACAGGCTCTTAGAAATCTAGGCTGTCCCCAAGCCCTGATAACAGAAATGTGTGCTTTTTATATCAAGAAAGTTGGGAAAGCACCACAATCCGTGTGTTTGGGATGTGGTCAGGCAGTCGGAGGGGCTTGTTCTGGGAGACCCACAGTTCTTAGTAGATTGTCTAAAACACTGAGTAAACATGTTGGGCCACAGTAAGGACAGAGAGGAGGAACAGCTGGAGGCCAGGCCCTAGTATGTGCAGTGGCAGCACCTTTGGCCACAGAAAGGAGCAACAGTGCACACCCTAAATAAGGTGGCAATGGCAATGGCAATGGCAATGTAGATGTTCAGAACCTGGAAGCTTATGAATAGGAAACTAATCACACAAAGGGAACAACACATACCTACCTCACCCCTGGTCACTAGGGACATTCAGCTATTAGAATGCTTCGATTCCCAATAGCATCTGAGAGAAGTCCCACGAGTTTCTTTAGCTACTTTAATGACTTTAGTCTGTTCGTAAAGGGAAATACACATAAAATGCAGGATCCACATGTAGCAGTCCTCTGCAGCAGTTCTTCAACTGGGTCCACAAAGCTTCTACAAATTCCTTAAAAATGGCAAAGTCCTATAGTGTGTAGAGCTCCCATGGAATGTGCAAAGGGGTGTCTGACCCCACCCCCTAACAAAGAAAAAGTGAGTAACTCTTGTATAGAGGGAGAAGACATGCACAATAAATCCATAAGACCCAGGCACAACTAGCTCAAACCACACAGAGCTCTATAGGAAGCCAGAAATACTTGGCGAATGGAGAGTCACAGCAGCCTATGGATATATTTTCTGTCTTTGTTGGTGGTGCTGGGATCAATCTCAGGGCCCAATGCATGTTATGCAAATGCCCAACCACGGAGCCACATCCCCTTTCCCTTTGGACATGTGTTTTTATTTTTTATTGGTGGAACCAGGGATTGAACTCAGGCCCTGGTGCTTGCCAGGCAAGCACTTACTCTACTGAGCCATCTCCCCGGCCCCTGGACATGTGTTTTTAAAACAGCCTTTTTTTTTTTTTTTTTTTACCTTCTTTTACTTGATCCAAGTATTTCTTTATGTCTTCTGCTCTATCCATGTAGTGAGTAATTTTTTCTCTGAGGTAACATCTCTTAGTATGATCTTGGATGCCTATAAAATTTAAAAACAATCATATTCTCAAGTTTCAAAATAGTTTTTTTAGTTAGTTCAAGCATTCTTTCTGGTTTCCCTCATTTTCTATCTTTTCAGCATGGTTTGCCTCAGTCCTAAAATACACAGGTGCCGAGCTCACACTCTCTGATAGAGGGAAGTCACTTCTAAATGAAGCATGTGATGCACCTTTGTTTAGGAATGGGGGCTCTGCTCCTACATTACCTCTGGGGCACCACGTCTGGTAGGGTGAGAAAGGTCTGCAACATGTCAAACCCTTAAAAAGGTCCAGGTTAAATAGTGGTTAACAACAAAGGACCTAGAGTCTGACTGCTTCATGTAAAACCTGCCTTTCCACTTTTAGCTAAGTGAGTTTGGCCCTTTATTCAACCTCTTTGTATCTCCGACTTTAACATGAAAACAGTGATAGTACTTTAGTGTGGCTGAGATGGCTTTAAAAGAGCCTGCCTGGAGCGTAGGAAATAAATGTTGCTTGTCAACATCATTATCATCCACATAATTCTTCCCATATACCTCACCTGAGCTCCTTTAGAGCCATCCTTTAGTATCGTTGTTCTTACTCTTGGGGTTGTTTGTTTGTTTGTTTGTTTGCGGAACCAGGGATTGAACTCAGGCCCTTGCGCTTGCCAGGGAAGCGCTTATTCCACTGAGCCATCTCCCAGGCCCCCAGAATCCTTGTTCTTAACCTCTGCTGTTACTTGGCTACTACCCCTAAACATGTCCTTTCTCATCCCTTTCTGGCCAAGACAAAACCCAAGATCCACCTTCCCTCGTCCTTTCTGTGCTTTTAGATTTTCCACAAAGTGTGAGTTTCTTTTACCTTCACTGACATCCTTTTGGATGTCCATTTGATTTAACTACTTGCCACTGGGTCTTTAGAAATGAAAGATTTGTAAGGGCCCTTAAAACTAAGATTATTAGTGACTACACTTAACCATACTGAACTTTTTTTTTTGGGGGGGGGTAAAATAGCACAATGTTAGCTGAATTTCTTTTAAAAAAAAACAACAACAAAGTATCAACAGTAGCTTTGCTGGGACAAGGGACAAGGGACCAGCACCAGGGCAGGGACACACTTTGTACTTGGAACATACGTATGTTCAAAAAAAAAAAAAAAAATACACACACACACACACATATATTTGGTACAGGGCCTCATTACACAGCTCGGATTCATAGTGATCCTCCTGTTTTCAGCCTCCCCAGCACTTGAACCATTCTTTAACAGTGACGTTTTTTGGTGTTTTTTTTTTTTGTTGTTGTTGTTGTTGTTTTTTTTGGTACTGGGACTCAAACTCAGGACCTCAAGCTTGCAGGGCAGGTACTCTGCCACTGAGCTATATCACTGGCCAAATAGTGACATTTTCTAACCATGTATATGTGTTATTTTTAATCTCTTAAAACCACAATTGAGGTTCTTTTCAAAAAACTTAAATTCCAAAATAATGATGCCTGTATGTAAATATTCCCTTCTGCAGAGTCAGCTCCAATATACGAACAGTAAAAGTTCAAAAGCAGCATTTTAGTACCATATAAAAACACAAGTTTAGGCACCTTATCAAAGGACAATGTTTAGGAACACTGGAGATGAGGTCGTTGCGTCTGCTGCCACACCTGTTTAGGGCTCTACTGGTCTCTGCTCCCACTTCACAATGGTCTCTCTCTGGATCCTAAACAAAGAAATCACGAGCTGACCCACAGCAACAGTTCCTTCAGCTGAGGGACTTCACTCAGTAGCATTCCAAGCAATTACTTAGGACTGCCAAATGGCACTGCTTTGGCACTTCCTGCATAGGTGGGGTTTACACAACTGGCTTCCTGGTGACATATTTAGATGACAACTCGCTTTACCTTCACTGCAATGAAAACCATGGCTGTGGCACAACAGTCTGACTTGAAGCCAGGAGTTTTAAAAAAGCTGATCTGATCAGAACTTGCTGTTTGGTTAACAGAAAATCAAAGCAAAGACACAGCAGGCTACCAGAGCAGGTGAAGTGAGGCGGCGATACCTTGGAAGTCCATGATCCACAGGTTAACTGGAATGGGAAAAGGCAATACAGTCAGCTTTCCATGGATGGTGACAGTGTGGTAAGCATGAATTCATCAGTGTCTGCTATTAACCAGAAAACCTGTCTTCATACGTGAAGCCTTTATGATAGTAATTTTTGCACTGACCAGGCTGGCCTTGTGGCAGACAACGAATGTCCCTGGTCTGCAGTTTCCAACATCCACTCTGCCTGAGAGACCAGCAAGGGGCTCTCTAATGGCCATCTGTGGCACAGGAGACAGACACACTGCCTGTCACAGGTCTTCCTGCTGACCTCCAGCTCAGCTGTCTTCCTTCAAGGCCTACGATTTCAGATCCCCTTCATTCCTTTCCTCCCCTTTCCACCTTCTTTTACCCTTCTCTTTCTTTTTCTCCTTGTCTCTTCTTCCTCTGCCAGGCAAATATGTCTCTCTAGAGTGATAGGAGCATACCTGTCTTGACTGACCAAAAAGTGCTCGGTCTCCCAGGCACAGCTCCCGCAAAGCATGAACAGAGCCTGGTCTGATGCCACGACGAACCTCTGCCCATCCTAGTTGGCACTGAACAGGATGCCTACCATAGGCTCCTGATTTCCTGTCTCCTCTGTGGGGCTCCCCCATGTGGTGACATCCTAAGAATCTTCCCCTTCTTTGTCATTTTCAGGATGTTCTTGGGCTTGTCTGGGTCTGTCTTTGAGAAGTTAACAGGTAATGAGGGTCTCTTGTGGTCTGATTTCTTCCTCCTGTGTCATCATCTTTGTCCCACTGTTCCAGGAGATGTGTCAGGTCCACATCATTGTCGTAGCCAGTGTCTTCCTCCTTTTGTAGAGTTCGGGTGGCCTCCTTGGGCACCCAGGTCAAAGCAGGAGCAGGGCACCCACCTGGAGCCCACCGTCTTCACCACGAAACCTTTTTATTTCTGATTTCTGAAGTTCCACTTTTTACTCCAATGCTTCTGGCAAACATCACCAACTTTCTCCCCACATTTAACATTTTCTTGCTTAAATCTGCACTGCACTTATCTCTACTGATACTTATTTCTTGTATCAGAATAGGTTGCATCCTGGGTCTTAACACGTCTCTATAACCCCCCTGGGACTTGTGATTCTCCTGCTTTTGATCCCTTACAGGAGTGTTCCACCTGACCCACACCTCCCTGGCTGTTCTGGGGACCTGATGTACAGTCATCAAGGCCTTTCACTTTGGTTGTGGCTTGACCACCTGCCAGCAGCAGAAAGTGAAAAGAGAACTACTTGTCTTCATTATAGAATCAGACAGAATACCATCAACTCCCGCTTTATAGAACAATGTAAAGAATGAAACAAGATCACACATTTTTGTTTTCTCAGTTTCTAGAGATAAATGTAGAGCCTCAGGCAAGAACTCTACCACTGAATTATATGCCCAGTCTCAACTGTTTTTGATTTCAACTTTGTTTTTTGTTCTTAATTTGGGTTTTTTGGGCAGAATGCTCAAGTAAAATTAAATTACAAGCATTACAATATTTCTTTCCAAAACAGTTAAGTCTACATCTCTAAAAATTAAGGGTAGTTTTGGAGGCAAAAATATTACTCCATATTGACTTTCCTAATCCACCAATGTCTTAGTGATTAAGGTTTATATATATACTGCATATGAGTAAGTCTATTAAACCTCTTAAATATCTGTAATAGACCCTCCCCTTTCATAATGACATTACTCTGTTACAGCTATGTAGAAGAAACCTGTCCAGCTATCCCCCGCACCGCTCACCGCTCACCTTTCCGAACCTGCAGGAGCAGATCAATCCCCTCTTGGTA